TTTTATTCTAATCATCACATCCAGAGTTCAGGGAATTAATTTTGTTCGCGGACCTCCGTGATAAGGCATGCAATGAATAACTCGTGCAACGATTTATTCCATTAAAATCAAAGTACTATAAGTACTCATGGCAATTAGCATGTGCTAAGCAATTTATGCATGAATAAGTATGCCCATTTTGCTCTTCATCATCTAATTCTTTTTTCGTAAAACTAACGGTATCTACATGTTAATTATAAAACCTGATCACTTATCAAATAGCACAGCCATATAACAGGGTTTCTTGATTGGAAAAAAAACACACATAAGAATACTTCCAAATTTAATAAACATGATATTAGGGCCATCTTTCTAAATAAAATTATCGATATCATCTCTACCCGGAGATATCGTTCTACTTATACCTCTGTCAACGTCTTAAAAGTAGTATGGGCGCGGATACAATTAAGGGCGATTAAAATTAACACATACGTATTTATGTATGTGTGCTAAAGATGCAAGTTGTTTGTCAATAAGAACTAAACCAAGTAGACAAAAAAAAAAACCCTATATCTATTTCTAATATTCATATTAAACAAGTAACAGCTTTTCAGAAAGCTTGCCTGACTAATGCCATCAATATCTATAGAACCTATAGGTCTCATCCGAAGGACCGATCTCCACGTTTCGCTACATGGATTCGAACCCGCGACGTAAAGATGAACACCTCATTACGCGAGTCTAAAATGGTTGCAGAGGATGAAGTCAATAAGGGAAATAAAGTAGTGTAATTGATTTATGCTGGAAAGTCGTGGCTATGTATGTAAAGGTTACATATGATAAATTAGATTCAACGGCATACAGCATAGGCTATGAGGAAGACAGCTAAAAATATGGTAACTACAAGAAACTGGGAATCGTAACGGTTATGACTGACATGCAGAATATGTTAACTAGCTTCCTGGGTATGCTAGAGCATCAACGATTGTTGGAAATAAAGCCCGTTATTGATAATGACCCAACAAACTTAATGGTGATTACATGAATGGCGACAGGCGCAGATTCAGGAAGTTTTTACCCAGAGATGGGGGGGGGGGGGGCACATAAAAAGTATTTGTAAGAGCAAAAAATTAATAAACTCCCTCAATCCTGAATTAAGAGAGGCACTTTCCTAAGTCTATATTCTGATTTTGTAGAGGAAACCTGGCCTGTGTGTGTGTGTGTGGGGGGGGGGGGGGGGGAGGGGGTATTAACAGATGTATATTTGGCCAGTTCATCTTCCTAATAAGTATTTGTTCGTTTCGTTTTTATTACTTTAAATGATGAAATTTCTAAGTCACCTCACAATATCACCGAAATGTTTTTCTTTCCAAAACTCGATTAAGATTCCGACAAAAAAAAACACTCTATATAATTCATGCAGTTTTCATTTCCATTCAATAGAATAGTCCAGGAAAAGGGCGCCAATACTTATACGTGACCTTTCGGCAAATAAATGCATCAATATATTGTATCAGTAATATGGTTAATTTTCTTCTAACTGTTGTTTTTGAAACGCAGGTAACAAAATCCGATGATAATCAGCATGCACAAAATTTTGCTGGCTAACTGTGGCCTCTTAGCTTCGCACATAGGAAATATTGATCCTTAGTTAGTGCCTGACGCCGTGACGTCAGGCAATAAAATCTATTTCCTCAGTATCTCAGTTGATTCGATATGCAAAAACATGCTATATAGACAGTCGTATGAACAATTTCTAAACTGACGTAATTATTGACAAATAAATTGATGCAACAATTGCAAGATCTAGCAGAGGCATAGTCACAAACTTAAAAGTGGGGGGGGGGGGGTTCAACTCCAGAAATTCTTTGACAAGCAAAAAAAAGAAAAAAAAAAAAAAAAAAAAAAAGTTCCCCAAACACGAAAATCCAATTTCATGGGGGTGGGGGGGGTGGGGGGGGGGGGGGTAGTGGCCAACCTTTTTCTCAAAGGCAAGATACTTTCAATTTCAATTTTTCTACACAATTTTAATATACAACTATGTATTAATATTATTTCAAAATAGCTGTGATTTTGTTCTTCATTAAAAAGTGGGGGGGCACAGACATACTCTTGCCCCCCCCCCAGATCTGAAAGTAGGGGGGCTAGTGCCCCCGCTGCCCCCCCTGTGACTACGCCTATGTCTAGAAATTTCAGCAGTCTGGTTTAAAGTAAGTTGTATGGTCGATACAATGACCTTGTCAGTAAATACAATTTAGAAAATGCTGAATGGCGTTTTTCATACCACTTAATTGTTAATACATTATTTATATATGTATACACTGAATTGAAGACGGAATTTTTCCATTTATTTTTCCAATAATTTTCCATTATTTCCTCGATCATGACAAGAGTCAAGACGCACAAGGCGAGTGTGACCGGTCGGCAAGGGATGCTCATTCCTGCATCGCACCTGATCCCACCTCCGATGTTTTGGATCGAGGTTTTAGTTTGCTCTGCTCCTATTTTGTATTTTGATCAAGAATTAAGTGTGCATCGTTTGATGTATCATCTAAGCAAGTTTTGTCATATATTAGGCTATAAATATATACCTTCTTCAGGATGAGCCTCCTCCAAAAACGTTAACCTGTTTACTCAATCAAAAAATTTAGGTCGGATTCCACAACGGAGCAGATCCATTGCTGTGCCTCTTAAGATGTATCAACCATGCAAGTTTGGCCAATATATGTATATAGGACTCATACATAGTAACTTGGAAATGGGACATACACCAAAAACATTAACTCAGTGTTCACTCATCCGGGAAATGTAGGCCAGTTCCAGCATCCAAAACAATTAAGCATGGTAGTACGCATCCTTTGATGTATCATGCAAGGTTCGTCAAAATAGGACTCACGATTACTTTAAAATGAGACCTGCATCCCCCCCCCTAAATTTAATTTGCCGATATCCAGTTTTTCTAGCCTACTATAGAAAATATAGCTAGTACTGTTTATGCTCGTGCCCCTCGATAAAAACGCATGTAAACCTTACTTTTTGCTTGTCGATGTATTTTTTAACAAGAGGCCCAGGGGCCACAGCGGTCACCTGAGCACATCGGCTAGGGAAAAGCACATATGAGATCAGAACTGAAAGTTTACTGAGATACGGGAAGGAGGGGGGGGGGGGGGGCTTGAATGTTAACCCCCCAGGGGATCATGATTTGAACGGACTAGAATCTACATTATACCTGAGGATGATTCCATATAAATATTACTGATCATGGCTTTGAAGTACTTGAAAAGAAGATTTTAAAAGGATTCCCAATATATATTCCTATGTAAAACTTTGGTCGGCCATTTTGGCCCCACCCTACCCCGGGGGTTATGATTTGAAAAAAGTTGAATCTACACTACCTGAGGATAATTTCACATGTGTTTCATCTTTCCTGGTTCTTGAGAAGAAGATTTTAAAAGACTTTTCCTATATATTCCGATGTAAAACTTTTGGCCCCACCCTACACCCAGGGGTCAAGATTTGAACAAATTTGAATCTACACTAAATGAGGATGATTCCACCTGAGTTTCATCATTCCTGACCCAGTGGTTCTTGAGAGGAACATTTTTAAAGATTTTTCCTATATATTCCTATGTAAAACTTTGATCGGCCATTTTGGCCCCACCCTACCCCCGGGGTTCATGATTTGAACAAACTTGAATCTACACTACCTGAGGATGATTCCACATGAGTTTCATCTTTCCTGTACCTATGGATCGTGAGAAGAAGATTTTAAAAAATTTTCCTATATATTCCTATGTAAAACTTTGATCGGCCATTTTGGCCCCACCCTACAACTGGGGATCATCATTTGAACAAATCTGAATCTACACTACCTGAGGAGGAATCCACATGAGTTCCATCTTTCCTGGCCCAGTGGTTCTTGAGAAGAAGATTTTTAAAGATTTTTCCTATATACTCCTATGTAAAACTTTGATCGGCTATTTTGGCCCCACCCTACCCCCGGGGGTCATGATTTGAACAAATTTGAACCTATACTACCTGAGGATGATTCCACATGAGTTTCATTTTTCCTGGCCCAGTGGTTCTTGAGAAGAAGATTTTTAAAAGATGCCATTAATTTTTCATTAATTCATAATTATCTCCCCTTGGAAAAGGGCTTGGCCCTTCATTTGAACAAACTTGAATCCCCTTCACCAAAGGATAATTTGTGGCAAATTTAGTTGACATTGGCCCAGTGGTTCTTGAGAAGAAGATGAAAATGTGAAAAGTTTACGACGACAACAACGACAACGACAGACAACGGACAAATTTTGATCAGAAAAGCTCACTTGAGCCTTCGGCTCGGGTGAGCTAAAAATGAAAGGATTTAAAGGCCATGCATGATGACTAAATCAATTAAATATCTATAAGCTGACTATACGTATTAATAAAATATTGAATAAATTAATTAAGAATTTTTTATAGTTGGGAGTCACCCGGACTGAAAATATATGCCTCCCCCATACCCTTAAATTTGCTTCCTACGGTCCTGAGTTACAAAAACTATCCTACCTGATATCATTAAATTAGGAAGTTAAGACTTCCATTTGGTTCTAATTAAGTCTCATTAATTATCGCTTTTTGTTAAAACCTAAAAGGGTTTTAATTTAAGTAGGCTGGGGGGACAACAAATTAACCACCAGATTTAACTTATTTTTTAGATACGGTATCTTAAGCTGTCAACTATCATTTGGCAAAGAAAAAATTTATAAATTTTAGTTTTAAAATTTGATCATTTTTGTATATCTTTATATGAAGCTCTTCTTTTAAAGGAGATCGAAATAGTCTGAAAATGGCTGCCACCCCAGCCTCTTTAAAAATATATTTTATTCTAAAAAGGATTCAGTCTTTTCGAATCATAAAATTAGCGACAGAAACTCTTTGCAGTTTAACAACGAATGTAAATGGCAAACATGTATAATAAGTAAAAACACAAACTGTAAACCATATTTTAATTAACATGGTAAGAAACTAAAAACAACCACATTGTAGTATTTTATTCGATAACATTTTCAAAGATAACTGAAATTTGCTTTACTTTCTTTCATTAAGCAAGCGCTCCACGGAATATTATTTCTGCATAAGAATATCGGGACTGAGCTACAATTTTCTAGATTCCGGTAACTCGCAGGTCAACCGTATGTCGTTCCTTTACTAGACTGTAAAGAGAGAAGAAGCTTGGCCTTCATTTGAATGTTTCCTGGTACATCTAGTTTGTCATAAGATTTAAGTCGGTCACTGAATTCTTTTGAAATCTGAAGGTGCGGGTGTCCGAACCTCAGGTTAAACAAAGCTTGGTCGATGTCATGTTCCACAACAATCCAGTGCTGACCCAAAACAAAGGGGTCATAGTTAAGGTCAGAGGTCGACACCGGGGTCACAGACCTAAGAGCTTGCTTTTCCAGCTCACTGAAAACCTGAGGCACAGAAAACCCAGAATATCGACGACCAATCTCCTTCAGAATCAATTTGTAAATTTCTAGTCGCAACATTCGAGCCTTTCGCCTGACGTTTTCATCCGGGTGTTTTTCCCACAATTTGAGGTCATCGCCAAGGCCGTTTCTATTGGTGATCATCATTTGATCTGTGTAAAGGTCATTTTCCACCGCCTTCATTTCGTCCATGATGTAGTCTGTTTTTAATTTGTCAATTTGCGGTGATATTGACTTGGCGTCGTTAAACTGGAGAAGATGAAGGGCGTACATATGGTCTTCTGACAACTCCTCTATCTTAATTTTTTTGTCCTTATACTGTTTGTCAAGGTCATGTAACACCTCCATTACGATGGCTTCGATTCTTTTACCGCGCATGTTCTTGACCTCCTGGTTGATCTCAACCAGGATTTCCTCTTCAACCCGCGCCCTGAATTTGGGCATTAGTTTGTGTTCCTCTAGAAACCTGCAACGATATTTGTAATCAAATGTGAGACTGACATCACCTCTTGTATTTGCTAAAGAGAAGAGAAATGATAGAGAAAGAAAAACTTTCACATCTTACTCGGACTGTCTTCTGTAGACTTCCGGAATGAAGGACATGACGTCATCGGCGGCAAACTCTAACATCTCACAGGTCAAAGGTCGCTGTGACCAGTAGTCACCCATTTTCCGAAGGTACATGTCCTACAAAAGACATATTAAAGGTTCAAAATTATCCATTTATATATACAAGTATTCATATTCGAGCACTCCTTTTATTGTGCATGGTGGTAGTGATAATTGATGCCCGTAAAATTTGACTTCAACTGTAACATTTTTTTTTGCATTTTTCTCCAATACCTTGACATCTGTCCTCCAGCCATAAGGATTTCCGGTCCCAGAATAGCACTGACAAATATCAAACAGAGTCAGACGTTCTGGTAACTTCCGGCCCTCAAATTCCCGGATGACTAGATGAGCTATCTTATAATCAAAACGTGTAAAGTAGTAAATCAATCTTGTCTATATATATAAAACTTATAATAAACTTTATCCATAAACCTATTAAGTAAATTTCTAAAGTTTAAAATCTACCATTATGTATTTCTATAAGTGGCATTCAACGTGGAACTTACTTGAGTATCGAACACGTTACGGAGACGAACAGCAAACTGTGTAAATAAAGCGGCACTTAAAAAACAACATGAAAAGGCCACCTGAAAACAAAAATGATATGGATTAAACGATCTCATTTATCAGCAGTGTTTTTGTCGATTTTTTTAACCGCGTTATTTATTCTAAAGTAGTTTAACGTGTTTAAGATATCATTATTTATAGACAGGGTGACTTACTTTGAGAACTTTTGTGTTCTCCAGAAGGAATCGTAGCCCTCCTTTGTCGAATAGTCGGTTGTTCACCAAACAGTCAAACGCATATACCTTCCCGTAGAAGGTGCCCACAAGGAGTAGTGTCAGCGGTCCCTCCCGCCCCAGGGCCACGCCCTCCCCCGACACCGAGATGATGCATTCCCTCTGAAGCACGTGCACCAGCTGTCGACACCGGGAAATCTCGGTCACCACTTCCTTCTCGTGGTATACACTGGGAGATGAGGGCCTCAGAAGATCTTACAATACAAAAATATCATTAATAAGCAGAAATAAATATATATTGTAATGTTGTTTTCCCATACAAAGATTTTGTGTAATGCTTTTACTTAAGCATTGTTAACCTTGATCAAACTGATACCATGTCAGAGGGCAAAAATGACTTTTGACATCTTGAGAGGTAAAAAAGTCATCAAAGCAAATGCAAAAGGCGGCTTCTGCCTAAAAATAGCCGTATCGCAAAGAGAGAGAGAGAAAGAGAGAGAGTTCTTACCTAGCCTGGCACCAGGAAATATCGGTATGTTATGAAGGTCCGCCATGTGGCAAGTCACCTGAAACTATAAGTATTGTTTTCATAACAGTCACATTTTGATCCCACGTACAAGATCCGATGACAATTTGTTTAAATGCAGCAATATACCTTTCTTTCTGTTTACCCAACAGGTGCGCCGTCAACATAGGACTTTACATAGTTACAGGTGCCCTCTCAATAGACTGCGCGCCTGTGTCGATATATTGTGATGTGCTCTCTTTATGATTCCCTAAAACATTCAGTTCTTCCACCACAGGGCGATCAGGCAATCGATAACGCTATATTGAAGTCTCCTATTGTCTTTTACTGTCAGCCATTCAGACGAATAAAATTTTCTTTTGAGAGAACAAAACTATTGAATGCCCTTATTCAAAGTGATTTAAAGTGTATTAAATATATATATCACTGAAAATAAATTTAAATCTCCCGAGCATAAGAGCGTTAAGCTAAATCTGTTACGAGACTAGGTATGAATACTTTATTAATAAGATTTGGAATTTTGACAACGATATTTACTCTCGGAGCACTTTGCTAATATTTGTGTTTATAGATCTATCTGTATGCGGCGTAAGGGGTAGGTGACACAGTCACTAATGCTTGTTTTTAGAAGGTATATTTGTATTCAAGCATCTTCGCTAACCAAGGGTTTCTGATAGCAAAAATGAAATTCAAGCGACATAGCGCATCTCTTCAACAAACGACGACCACAGATGAACAGTCCAGCCACAAGGAAAAATAGCTTATCCACGCAGGAATTTGATATTCAGGAGGAAATGAAAGACGGGCTTGCAAACTCTAGCTTGACTTGCTTATCATTGAGATAGCTGATATAGATGTCCAGCAGTGAATTCACTGCATCCCTCAGTTCATGTAATATAAATTTTTGCATTAGTGTTAAAAATTTTCCTAAAGAAATCTATTTTACAAAAATTTTAATATTAATATACCTTGCGAGACACAATTTTACAAAATATATAGGTCTTTATTAACTTTGATTATTTAAAGGAATAAACTTATCTATCCCAATAAGAGTTACCTCTCTTGTCAGAGGGTCATGAACCTTAAGGGCGCACTTGTTTCATAGGTCGGGTCAAGCCCGTTGATACTTCCGGAAGCGGGCAAGTCACTTAATTGTTTCAAATATTTTTAAGCTGCCGGACGGTCAGAAAGTAGCCCGCATCGCCCGAAACATTTCGAGCGACTAAATGAAAAGCAATATGGCGGTAAACGGAGGTAAAAATTTTCTTGAAGGTTAAATATTCGTTTTTTTATCATTTGCAGTAGTTTCATTTTCAACGAACATGCAGTACTGAGATAATAAGTAAATTTTACGACATGTTTGTTTATATTTGCATTTTGCACGAACGACCAACATTTTTTTCCCTTAAATTTTAAAGCTACTTTTCAGTTTTGTGTGTAACAAGGCCCTGTGCTCCTAATTCACAGATTGTACATTGAATTGATCTAGTAAATATTAAAACGAAATATATGCACAAAATCGTTGTCCTCGTGCGTCAGAGAAAGTTATTTTTTACAGCAACAGCACCAATAACAGTATCAGCTATTTTCCGGCTTAATTTTCACTCGTTTCAGCGATACTAACCGGGTCAATATGTCATATGATAAAAGTCAACCGGGTCATCGCCCGGATGTCTGACACAAGTGCGCTCTAAGGAAACATAGCAAAAAAATTTATCTTCCAATCAGATTTACAACGCTTTCAACTTTTAAATATTGAATAAATTTGATTTGTGTAGAATGTAAAGGTAGACTCTTAAAGTTTATCATCTTTATAATTTAAAAACTTTATAGGAAGGAAGATATGTTTCTTTCTATCCTTAAAAAAGTACAACCTATTTCCTTTTATATATATAAATATAGGCCACGTGCTTTTGCGAAGAAAAAAAGAGGACTTAGTCCCTTGAATCCTCTCGGACTTACCCAGTATGCATGAAATCCAAAGGTATAAAAACTTTTTGAAGAAGGCATGAATTATTTGGGTATGTGGCCTGAAATTCAACCCTGTAAAAAAACTAGAACTGTCCAAACGGGACAAAATAACCCCGCTGGGTTATTTCAGAAGTAAGTTTTTCCATAATAAAGATATGTTTCAAACACGAATTATGAAATTTTTCTTCCAGTGACCTTGAAGTTCCACAAATGACCTTGGGTCAAGGTCATGACACAACCTTGGGTCATGGGCAATCTTTGTGTGAAATGACAACCTACCAAGTTTATCCATAAGAAAGAAATGGACCCAACACAAATTAGGAATTCTTTCTTCCAGTGACCTGGAACTTCCCCAAATGACTTTGGGTCAATGTCAAGACACACCCTTGGGTCATGGGCAATCTTTGTGTGAAATGACAACCTACCAAGTTTATCCATAAGAAAGAAATGGACCGGACACGAATTATGAAATTTTTCTTCCAGTGACCTTGAAGTTCCCCAAATGACCTTGGGTCAAGGTATGACACACCCTTGGGTCATGGGCAATCTTTGTGTGAAATGAAAACCTACCAAGTTTATTCATAAGAAAGATATGGACCGGGCACGAATTATGAAATTTTTCTTCCAGTGACCTTGAAGTTCCCAAAATGACCTTGGGTCAAGGTCATGACACACCCTTAGGTCATGGGCAATCTTTATGTGGAGTAGTAGATTCTAATGTTCCTCTATAAGAAAGATATGGACCGGACACGATTGCACAGACAGACGGAACGCTAGACGGATGGACAGATGGACAAGGTGATTCCTATATACCCCCCCAAACTTCGTTTGCGGGGGGTATAAAAACCCTAACCATACATGTAGACCAGCAAGCCACCTAAATACTGGTACATTGAACCCTAACCATAGACCAGCATGTCACCTAAATACCAGTACATAGAACCCTAACCATAGATCAGCATGCCAACAAAATACTAGTACATAGAACCCTAACCATAGACCAGCATGCCACCGTAATAACCTAAAACCTGTTATGAGTTTAAAGATTTTGCATAATTACACACATTAACTGCACTTCGTCTCATCCAATTCTTAGTAAGTTACACATGTATACCAAAATCGGTTGAAGTACAGTTCAGCTGCAGATTTAAAGAAATTGCAGACTCTGAATACTTTACAACTAATGAACAACAGATATACAATAATTATTATCTAGTACTGAGTAATAATTATATTTACATCAGAAACTGTGGATAAACTCTGAGCAATAAAGATTACACATCTTATATGTCATTAACAACAACAAACAAAAGTTTTTTAATACATAAATCTCTTTTTATTTTTAGATGAAAGGGGCTCTAATCAGTGATTGCTAAAAATTAAAACAAATTCCATGAATGACACAATTTTAAATAATAGAAATGTACAATTACATATTAGTTCAGAGGATTGCATTGGGCACTATTAATGTCACATATCTTGCTGCTAATCTCTTGTCCTTGAAAGCATTCAATCCATTTTGTTCTGCGGCTTCACTAAAATTTCTTTTCTTTGTAGATTTTGCATTAATAAGTTTCCATTTGAACCATTTCACAAACTGCAATTTATAGATATATCTTACAAGACAATTACTACATCCACAAAACATTACTATTGGATTATGTGAAAAGTAAAGACCCTGACATGAAGCTTTTCAATAGCCATTACAACTCCTGTAGAATGTTCTGTTTATGAGGAATTTAGGAAGCCGAGTTTATCAGGATTGAGTTTTAAATCTTTCCTGTTTGTCACAGAGATTCACAACTTCCTGATTATCCGCTATATTAAACACATATAAATTAAGAGAATATTATTGAAACAGTAGTTAGAATATCCAAGCACTTTGAATTGAACATTGTTTTTATCGTAGATTTGTGAACGCCTCTTCAACTGCTGCTGGCACAAAACAACACAGATGATTATTGTCCACACTCCTCCCCAAAAATCTGAAGAGAAAAATAAAGTGGATACAGATTTCAATGAATAAATCTTTGATGTATTACTGAAATTACTGAACATTTGAAGCAGATGTTGATGTACCACTTCTTTTATGAAATAGCCAGTGCCTAAAACAAGACAAGTAAGCAACCATGCTCACTAAATCAGACTTTTATTGTATACAAGGGTGTGGATAAATACCATTTTGAAGCTTTGAAGTTTGGGATCTTGTTAATAAATACCCATATACATATCACAGTTCTCAGGTAAGCTTGGACTTTCAGTAAGATGTGGTATTCTTGGTGCAACATAATTAGCATCTGTCAAATGGCATACAGGTTCTCATTGGTTAAGAAATTAATAACATCAGGAACTATAAATTGTTGTTGAAAATGATGAAACGACTTAAACCCCACCTCTGTGCCATGTGAGAACTTTTAATTGGCTATTTGCTATACTATTTGACATTTGGCCGAATCCTATGTATATTTCAACCATGAAGGAAAGCTGTGTAAATTTCAGAAGCTAATTATTTAACATCCAGAATGCCACACCTTACTGAAAGTCCAATCTTAACTGGGAATTTTCCTGACAATTCTTGAAAGTGGTATTAAAAAAATTATTGTGCATTCTACTTACAGACACTCCCCTTTATCAAATACTAAAATACTCTTTGTACTTAAGTGGCAAAAAAGGGGGGTTGACTTGGAATCTCTCATAAACAACACCAAATGCAAACAGAATACTCCCCCTTTTCTGCCCAAATCATGTGTAACTTTGTATTTTTTCTGTAGAATCACTTTCTGTTCTTGAGAAATGTTTAAAGATTTCCCACACATTTATTTCTGTACAAACTTTGACCCCTTCTTATGGCCTCACTCTCTCAATATCTTTTGATTTGAATCCAGAAAGTTTTTTTTTGATTTTTTGAATAATAAATTTCTTAACAATTAATTCTTAAGATGATACCACCATATCTCAGCATATTCTAATAAACCTTCCCTTGTATTGGGATTCCCTTTAACCAAACATGCTTTGTGCCAAGTTTGGTTGAAATATGCTCAGTAGTAATTGAGAAGAATTAAACAAGAGGCCCACGGGCCTTATAGGTCACCTGAGTATTGTGTAACAACTTTCAAACAATTAAATTTGGTTCGTGTTTAAACCGGAGGCCATGAAATTCACAATTTACAATTTTGAAAGAGGCACCATTGCTTATCATAATTATTAACTTAGCATGCT